GGTCCGGGCTGAGAGCGTCACGGGCGCCCGGCGGTGCCAGCTCACTCCGGGCAGGGCAGGGCAGGGCAGACCCCGGCGGAGTCCGGACCCAGCAGATCTGGACCGGACAGAGCGAATCCCGGACGGTGCCGAGCCCGGGGAATGCCGAGCGTGGGCTGAGGGGATCCCGGAGCCCTCCCAGCCCTCCGAGTTTGGCTCACGCGCTGGGACCGGCCCAGCGTCACCTCGGTCGCCCTGCGCCCGGGTCACCTGTGGCCTCAGAGCCCCGAGCCCGCCGGACCCTCGCTCGTTCCAGATCCGGAGCCTGGCGGGGGTTGAGGGAGATTTTTCCTGCCCCCTTCCCTGGAACGCGGTGGCCCCGCCCCCTCCCACCGCCCAGATGCCTCGGGCCGCGGCTCGGAGGACCTCCCTGGGGCCAGGGGCCGAAGGGTCCAGAGAGAGAAGCCCGCCCTAGGGAGCCTTGGGGGCCCCCCAACCTCGTCTTGGGGCTTGGCCCCCGGCGCTGCTTGGAGTAAAGGCCGGTGCCCCCACCCTCGGTGAGTCGGGGCTCTGAAGGAAGGCGGGGCTGAGGAGGGAGGGTCCGCTGGGGAGGAGGGAGGGTCCGCTGGGAACGAGGGCACCCTGGGGCCACTAGGAGGAAGGATGGATAACTGGCGAGGCCCTCTGGTGAACTAGAGGGGCCAGGCCTGGCTGGTAGGGTGGGGGTGGGGATGGGGAGAGCCGCGGCCAGGGTGCCCCATAGCAGGCTGAGGACTTCTGCCTCTAAAGCAGGGGGCTCCCTCCCTTTCCCTCTAGAGGAGGGGCTGTGCTGTAAAACATCTGCCTCCGTCACCCCTTCCTACAAAGAAAGATAAATAAACCCCTAGCGAGGAAGGGTGCAGGCAGGGGAGAGGAGGGAGGCAGCAGCATTGCTGGCTGGTGCTGCAGCCTGGGAGGGCTGACGCCAGGCTCACTCTCTCTGCAGGGGGCTGCCCTCCTCCAATCCAGCTCCCTCCCCAAAGTCACCCACAGCTGGAGCCCCCTCCACATCTCGAAGACCCCAGCCACCATCCCTCTGCAGGTGTCAGTTGCATCCAGAGACCTCTGTCTTTGCAACTGCCTAGGAGTTGTGAGGGGCTTACTGCTGCTTCCCCCCTCATCCCAAGGGCATCTCTTACCCTTAGTCCCTGCAGAGTCATCCCCCTGCCTCTGTGTCCAAGCTCAGGCAGAGATCAGCTCAGCACATTCACAGGCACTTCAGGTCTTGGAGGCCACTCCTGGGACCCAAGGCCCCTCCCCCTGCCCTCCTGTGTCCTCACCTTGACCCCCTCTGTCAGACTCTGTCTCCCTCTGGGTGTCTCATTTCCCACCCAGAGGCAGAAGAGGCTGGGTGGCAGGGGGCAGGGGCTGGGTGAGGGCCGCCCAGGGCCAGGGTGGGCTGGGGGGCCGTTAAGATGTGGAGCTCTGCCCAGCCGAGGGGGGCTCTGTGGAGGCAGACGCAGTGTGTGCCCGGCTGGGGGGAGTATGGGCAGGCCTGTGGCCACCTGGTGAAGGATGAACATTCGGGGCGCCCCGGACCTTGGGCAGCCCAGTGACGACCCCAGCAGTGGTGGCGAGCGGGAGCGGATTCGACAGCGCATGAAGATGGTCATCGGGCAGCTTGAAGGCATTCTACGGGAGCTCAAGGAGGTGGCCAAGGAGCTGAGGGAGGTAAGTGAGGGGTGAACAGGGGCCAGACAGACACTGGACCAGCCTTCTTGGGCTTGGGGCAAAAACACTCACACGTAGGTGTTTGAGTATGCAATGCTGTGTGCACATATGTCACTCTGCTGGGTACCTCCTTTCTCCTTGTTCTCCTTTCCTCAGATCTGCTTGGCTAAAAGTATCACCATACCCCAGGGCTGGAGGGTCCTTAATGTTGTAGACTTTGCTTGGGCAGCATGTCAGTGAGCCCATGGCTCTGTGGTTAGCACTCAGAGCTGCCAACTTGGCCAGTAAGGACTGAGTCCTACCACAGATTCTTAGTGGGAGACATTCTGCTGGGACCCAAGCTGACCCTTGACTCCACCATTTACCTCCCAGACTCTGACCTGGTCACAAGGGGCCCCTAGAAAGTGCAGATGGCTGTATTAAGGCACTCCGCATTGCTTGCAGCCCAGTTCAATGTATTTCCCTAGAGATTACAGAGATACTCAGAACCCTTGATCCTGGAAAAATTAAAGCCAGCTATGCCCTCCTTGTTCTGGGGTAAGAATGGGTCTGCAGAGCTGCTGGTGAGTATCAGAGTTTCCTGTGTACATTGGCAGGGGCAGGAGTCTCCTCTAAGGGGATGTGTCCCCATCCCACAGTTCTGAATGTTTTTGCCAAGGCTGAAAAGTCATGAGAAGTGCTAGGGTGTGTGTGTCATGTCCCTCTCTGTCTCTCTAAGTGGAGCCTGGTTTAATTACTGCTTCCTACATCGCTGGGGTAATGAGGTACACATGTCCTCAGCCCTGCTCCCTGGGCTGCGTTCAAGCCCAAAATGCATGACCAGCGTTCTGAGCTGCTGTACTGAATTTGCCCGCTGGGTGCCATTATGCCAGCCAGGTGGGCTTTAGGCAAATTTCAACTCCTGTAACCAGGGCCCCTGCAGAGATGGCCAGGAGAGTGATTGAGCTGGAGTTATGGGCTCAGGCTCTCCCAGCATGAGGCCAGCTGTGTAGGGAGGATAGGGGCTCTAGGAGGGCTGAGGAGGTAGAGTGATTCCAGCCTGGACTGAGAGTTAAGGCGTAGGGGTTGTCTGAAAGGAACTGAGTTCGGGGGGTGTGGGGGCAGGTCAGTGATGCTGGGGCAGGAGCTGAGGTTGGGCAGGGCAGTCTCTCTGCCCCTGGTCAGCACCATGGAAACCTTATCTCAGGAGGTGGGAATAACCATTGCTTCAGGTGGACAGAGGTGATGGTACTCTTACCCGTGGACTGGGCTGGCCATGGTCCAGGCTGAACATCTTTGGGCAGTATAATTTGGAGGTCAAAGGCCAGATGCCCCTGAACAACCCCTACTTCTCTAACCTCATGGGTCCAAAGTACTACAATCCCACCTACCCTAACCCCCATCTTATTTTAGACATTCTGCAATTCTATCAGGGCCATGGGAACTGTCCAGAAGCCCAGTCTTGGGCAAGGGCATGAGACCTATGCCCCAGCAGGCCCACCCAGAAAGAGCCAGGATTGACTCTAAGCCTGGGAGTCATTTTTGGTACAACTCTGAGCCTACTCCCAGCTGCGCATCTTCCAGGCTCCCAAGGTCTCTCTCTTCCCAGCAGAGCCATCCAGACCTTGAAGGGATCTTACAGGTAATTCAGACCAGCCCTGTTCATTCACTGTTGAAGAAACTGAGGCCCAGAGAGGGACAAGGGCTTGTCCAAGGTCACACAGCCTACTAGTGGCAGGACTAAGCTTAGAACTCAGGTTCCTGATGCATATTCTGGGGTTGTAGCAGGTGAGCTACTGGGCAATCTCTGCACTTGGACAGAGGTCTTCAAGAGATGATACCTTACACTCTTGCTGTGAGGCTATAGCACTAGTATTTATTTGCAGATCTTTTAGATGTCCCCTCCTTCCCTTTTCACACTCACTCACTCCCATGTCTCTAACTGCAGAGCTCCAGGTTCATAGGCCATGCAACCCAAAGGCCTGAGCCAAGACAGAGAAAGATGAGTCCCCTCCCCCCACAAACCCTGTAGGCCATGTGCCTCCACCCAAGTCTTTGGCAGGTTGCTACGGCAACCAGAGCCTACCCCGTATGCCACAGCCTGCCCGCTGCCAATGGCACCCAGCTGGGAGGTGAGGCAAGCCTCAGAGCTCCCTCATCCCCCAGGGATGGTCTGGCCATGGGGCGATGGCAGAGGGGAGTGCAGGGGAAGGCAGGGGAGGCTCTAGAAGGCCCAGGCAGAACAAGAGATGCCATAACTGACTTCCTGTGGGATAGGATTTGTTGGGAATGGTGTTACCAAGTGGTTGGGAGAAAAAGGTTTCTCCTGGTTGGGAGAAAAGGGTTGCAGCCTCCCTGCTCCCTGGAACCTGTGATCTTGGCTGTTGGTCCTCCTGCTGGATCTGTCTGGCTCTCCTCAGTCCCTTTTTATGGCATTTTTCCATCAGGGGCATAGGTAGGCCCAAGGTCAAGAGGGTGGCAGGCACTTGTTCCCTCATCACACCCCGCTCTCTGGGCAGCACCAGCTCAGGACCCACCAGCTGGGTTTTTGTCTCAGGAAGGCAAAGCACTTAGATGTGGAGACAAGGCTGCTGGAGCAGCTGCCCAGGATGCCTGATGAAGGAGCAAGGCCAGCAGAGAGGAAGGGCTAGCTGCATTCCCCTCTGCCACCCTTCTCCTCTGTCTGCTGCTCCCCTTCCCCAGCCCCCAGACACTCCTAATCATGGAAGACCTTCATCCTCTTGAGCACACAGCCTGGGATTTACTGAAAGATGAGAGATGCTAAAGCACTTCCTTCCCAAGCCCTGAGCCTCAGTTTGCTCATCTCTGAAAAGGGGGGATGGTGATTTGTACCTCCCAGTGATCTTACAAGGATGTATTGGAGACTTGGCATGCTGGGGGGGGGGGGGGG